TGTGTGTGTGTGTGTGTGTGTGTGTGTGTGTGTGTGTGTGTGTGTGGCAGCCCCCCCAACCACGGTGCCCTGGGCAGTTGCCCACATTGTCCACCCCCAAGTATGGCTTTGGTGAGAGATGTAGCTTATAGATGCAAGTGGCAAGTGTAGATAACAGGTCAAGACTGCCAACTAGAAACTTCCAGAAGAGATAAACAGGAATAGAACTGGCACTGGGCAGTCCATGTAGAGGCCTGTTTACACCCAGAGCTGTGTCTTTGGCCACCTTCAGTGAGAGTAAGAGTTGCTATCTATGTTCAAAGAAAGAATTTTGCTCACTATGTTTAGAATACTTTAATAATGTTTAGGACAGAGGTGGGCAAAATACAGCCCGCAAGCTGGATCTGGCCCATGAGGCCATTCTATCCGACCCACGGGGCCCCTAAAAAATTTAGAAAATTAATATTTCTCTGCCCTTGGTTCCTGTAAAAAATGACAGGAACCAAGGGCAGTAGGACCCAGGGGAAGCCCAGCTGGCTCCCACAACAGCAGGGCCTGCCTGGCCCCGCCTCTCCAGCTGGAAACCCCAGTGGGGGCTTCTGGCCTGGTAGCACGTGGATGCCCCGATGGCACCAGAACCTCAGGTAAGGGGGAAGTGGGGTGGAAAGGCAGGGGGGACCCTGGGCAGGGAAGGAGGCCAGGGAAATGTGGCCCAGGGAAAAGCTGGGTGTGTGTGGGGGAAGCAGCCCCTCCCCCTTCCCATGGCTGGTGCCCTGTGCTTCAGCCACTTGCAGCCGGCTTGGGGCTGCCTATGCCTGCTCCGGACAGCCCCGCGCAAGATGTGAGCAGCTGCAGCAGGGAGTGCCGGCCACAGGGCCGGGGAGGGGCCACTTTTCCCCCTCCCCATGCTCAACTTTTCTCCAGGCTCCTTTCCTGTTCCTTTCCGGTATGGAGGAAAGCAGCCCTTCCCTCGCCTGTGGCTGGCGCTCCCTGCTGCAGCTGCTTGCAGCCCATGTGGAACTGTCCAGAGCAGGCACAGGCAGCCCCATGTGGGCTGCAAGCGGCTGCAGCGCAGGGTGCCGGCCATGGGGTGGGCAAGGAGCTACTTTTTCCTCCACCCCGTGCACAGCGCCACCTTGTAACCCAGCCCCGCTGCCAGCCTGGGCCCCGTGCTGGCTCCGGGCTTGCCCGTCAGAGCTGCAAGTGGTGACAGCAGCTGCAGCCCCCCTGCTTGCTGCGCAGGGGAGTGTTTGCCTCCGCTGCCTCTGTGCTGCCCAGCGTACAAGCTCCAGGAGGGCAGCAGCAGTCAACACTGCCCGGTGCGGCAAGTTGGGGGCCACAGCTGCTGCTGCTGTGCACAGCTCCGATGGGCGAGCCCAGAGCCAGTGTGGAGCCCAGGCTGGCAGCAGGGCTGGGTTACAAGCTGGTGCTGAGCACGGGGAAAAGTGGCCCCTCACTTGCCCCGTGCCCCACACTGCAGCTGCTTGCAGCCCATGTGGGGCTGTCTGTGCTTGCTCCATATAGCCCCATGTGGGCTGCAAGTGCCTGCACCAGGGAACGCCGGCCATGGGGCGGGCGAGGGGCTGTTTTCCCCACACTCAGCACCAGTTTCTTCCCTGCCGGTGAGCAGGGGGTCGGGGCTGTGGGTTGCCCCCTTCCTGTTCCACAGGGCTGGGGGAGGGGCACTGGGAGCCAGTGGGCGGGGAGCCAGCAGGAGCACGGGACTCACAGTGGTGTCCTGGGGCCAGTGCCGGCAGGGCCCAGAGCAGGGCAGCAGGGATACAGGGTCCTGGCCAGCAGGGGCTCTATGGAGCTGGGCCAGCTCCCCCTTCTCCTTGCTGGTGCAGCCCAGCTCCACAGACCCCTGACAGCCTGTGCCCTGCTTTGGGCCCACCAGTGCTGGCCCTGGGACATTGGTCCCAAGATGATGACCAGGGGGTGGGGCACCTGTCAAGGGGCGGGGCTACCCGTGCGGCCCTCGACAGCCTGACAAAACTGGGTAAGTGGCTCTCTGCCCAAAATAATTGCCTGCCCCGGTTTAGGGTGACAAGATAACATGAGTTAAAGAAAGATCAGATGAAGGATAGACTGTTTTCTTGGCTTTTATTTTCAATATTCACGGGTTCATTTCCACACTGATTTACAATTTTTCATATTTTATTCATGATAAGGCTTGCTCAGTACCTCTTCAGTATCAAATGCTTTACTTATGAAAATCTATCATTATTATTTGTCAGATACTAATGTCCAAAGAACCCAGTTGAAACTGGAGTCGCTAGGGGCACTTCTACATGTGCTGATGTGTTCTGACTAGAACACGTTGGCGCAGGCTTAATTAATCATTCTAATAAGAATGTTCCAGCATGCTGCAGTGTCTCATGTATTCAGCATCCCCACATTTCAAAATGGCAGGGCGCTTTAACTAAAGCACGTCTAATGAGCTTTAGTTGAAACACCCCGGCTGCCATTTTGAAACACAGGTCGTTGAATACATGAGACACTGAGGGAGGTTTAATTAGATTGCCTCCTGAGAGCTGCTTTAATTAAAACACCCTCCTCCTCCGGAGCATGTGTATAGGTGTCCCAGATGTTAAGTACAGTACATAGTGTGCAATAGACCTTCCAAAGAATATAAAAAAGGATCTGGAATAGAAGTGGGAACAAAACAACAGGGAAGTGACTCACTCAAAGTTGCACAACAGATTAGTGTCTGAGGTGGAAACTGAATCCAAGAATCCTGAGGAACTATGCCTTATGCTGTACTAGTTTACCTTGACTCTATCAGATAAAGGTAGTTTGATTTCTAGCTTGGCAAAACTTAGGGGCTAGGGACAGATATTCAAAAAGCCTGAGCCTGAATTGATTCAATCTTTGCAGGTTAGTCTAACCTGGCTAGGCTGAATCAGTTTGTAAATGCACAGACATCCCAGAAATGCAGGCACATGCCTGCAGTGGCATAGGCTAGAAGCTGGGGGGGGGCAGTGCTAGAATAGCCCTCTTTTCCCTTCCACAGAACTGAGCTGAGGGGGGCATGGCCAGGCCTGGCAGGATGCTCTGATTAGGGAGGGGGTGCCCCCTGTGGCACTGGTAGTGCCTGCCACTTTAAGGACTGGGCCAGGGAGGGGCAGGTGCCTGATAGGGAGCTGGGCCTTAAAATGGCCACCTTCGAGCTGAGGGCAGTTCGTGATCAGCCAGCAAAGGAGAAACACCTCCCTGCTGAGCTCTGCCAGGAACACCTTGGAGGTAAGGATGAGCCTATGGGGATGGCTTGGAGGCCTCATTGGTCCTGGGCATGACCTAAAATTGCACCTGCCAGAGCAGGAAGTCCTGGTGGGGCTGCTAGTGACACGGCAGTCCCCATGTAAATGCCAGGAGTGACCACCTCCCCGGTAAGGCAGGTCTGGGTGCCTTATCCTCAGCCCCCCCAACTTTGGGTGGATTATAGAATGCAGAGAAGGCCAGCTAAGCTTCTTGAAGCACCTGAGCCTGCTGGGGTGAGTGGGCCTGTGAGGCCAGGCATGCTTTGCAAAGCACCTGAGCCGGGAACGAGGGACCCCAAACCCTCTACGCAGTCATGCAACTTAGACCTGACCTGAGGTACTCGACTGGTCCATGCTGGGGCCAGGACCCAGAAAGGGGTCAAAAGGTCCAGGGGACCACTGCAAGGGACACCACAGAGCAAAGAAGCTTGGGATCCTGACTAAACATTGGGGTGCAAAATCGGCAGCCTCCTGCCTGATTAACATCCTAATACTATTACATCAAGGTATGGCAGACGAGTGAGGTAGGTGGCTGGCCCATAGACAGGAGGTGGACCGGCATGAAAGGTTGCCCCTGTTACAACTCCCCAACCCCCACCCCCACAATCTTCTGACCAGCCCAGCAGGGAATTGATAGCACAATGTTTATCACCCCATTAAGAAAACAACAGAGGGACATTCCCAGTTACCTGTTGATTCGCCTTTGTCCCATCTGCCGCAGCACTGACCGTAACCAGCATGTGGTCTGTTAGCTAATGCTGAGAAGTGCCTGCATAAGGCAGAGGGGACCCCTGCTTAGCAGGGAGTGGTGAGGGGAGGGGGGGAAGCCAGCTCTAGTGTGGAGCAGAGAACCCCACCCAGCCCAGAGAGCATGTTTGGATGCTGGGGGACTCTGGTTTAACTTAAACCAGCAACGGGTCTGGGACAGACATTGTATTAAACCAGTTTGACCCAAATCAGTTAAGTCTGATACTACATTCAATCAGGTTTATCTCAAACCAGTTTCAACCATTTTCAAACTGGTTTATGTGCACTAAACATCTGTCCTGTTACAGGTTTAAACCAGTTTGTGATCACTTAAACTGGTTTATGTGTAATGTCTGTCCCTAGCTAAGGTGTCTTATAGGTTGCTGCAGTTTGCAAAGCAAAGGTCTACCTGAACTAAAATTATAGACAGAAATCACTTCATCCGCCCTCAAAATACACGCATTTTTGCATTGATTTTACACTGAAATGAATGCATCAATATGTTCATTTGAAAATATAATCTAGACTTGATAATTAGTTAATATTTCATATACTTTGTTGGGCACATAAATAAAACTGAAAACAGGGCATACATGAATCCAGTCGAAATGAGGTAAACTCCAGCATGCCTGGAAGTCACCCCTGCTTAGATGTTCCTCCTTTATAGAATTCACCATGGCAACGAGAATTTTGAGGCATAATGGCAGATTTTTAATACATGTCTAAAATAAGAGCAGAATTAAGTAGAAATAATTGCCTGTTTTGGCTGGCTGGACCTCAGTAAAGCAAAGCTACCTCAGGAAATTGTTGCAAAATACAGAATTTGTCATTCACTGTTTTCCATTTATTTAATGGAAAGGTTCCTACCATATTATTAACAGCTGATAGGGTGATACTATGCCCATGTTCTATGATACATGATATAAAGTGGTTGCACATTACAAAAGTTGCTAACACAATGCAAAGTCACACATGCAGAAAACAAAATTCATTTCTCTCATACAAATTCATGGCATGATGGTATAACAGTTCCTGTAGGAATAAATACTGCAATAATGAAAATTTTAATGGCCACAAGGAGCTGGCACATAAACATTAAATCAGCCTAATCCTGAGCTGGTCCTCGGCAACTACAGCTATTACCACTAGAGACTGCTTTTAAAAATACATTTTGCTTATTTTTAATTCACATTTTATTGAAAAAAGTCTTAGCAGAAAACAGTGTTATTGGAGGAAAATAATTCTTTCATTTTCCTGCTAGGCAATGCGTATATTATCAAGACAACAACAATTAAATATTGAGAGTTCAGAAGAGAATGTGACCTCTTATTTCCACCCTGAATTGTGTGGCATCAGAAATATGGAACAGAGCAATCTCTAAGTATTAACTTAAATGTAGGTGGTGGAGGCATTTTGCTGAGCCATGCACTTCTAAATGACAGAGCCACTTTAAGATGCACTAGAGTGACTGGAGGAACAGACTAAATCCCCACAGAGGTTCTTGTCTGGAAAAATCAGCCTTGTATATGAAAACAGTTGAAAATGCTGCCTTAGTGGATGCTTAAACATGGTTTCAGCTAGGAAGACTAGTTTAGTTACTTGGTAAATAAAGCTACACAGGACATCCAAGAGTGCAAAAATAAATTAATGCTCATGTCAATTTAAATGTCGTTCTTCAGTATTCAGTGCTGTTTTATCCTCAGAGAGCTGGCTTTATATAATAAATGTATATAGTTCAATGAATCAAGACCTCACTTCAGTGAATCTCTAAATTCAGTGAAATTATAAGAGATGAAACATGATGTTTATGCATTCTGGGGAGAGGAGTTAAGCATTCTACAAAAACTTGCATCTTCTAAGTGATTTTTTCCATGGCCTGATGTGTTAAAATTATCTATTAAAATATCACAATAATTTACTGCCCAAATACCCACATCTAATACAGCCCAGATCTGATTTTTCACTTCCAGGTCATTTTATTTGTTGATTAGTTGAAGTTCTACAAATATGTGATGAGGTTCTGAGGGTTTTTATCCACATACTATTTTTTATTGTTGCACAAACCAAATCCCTGATTCATAGATGGACTTTATAAATATCACTCTTAGTACACTGGAAATTCAGGAATACTGTTTTTGTTTGCTTGGTTTTTTTTAATCCAAAGGCATGTAAGAGGCAGAAAACTGAAAAAAATGTCAATGAAGCAAGCATGTACTTGCTCAAAAGTCTTTATGTTATTTGACGTAAGTATTGCTGATATAACCCCAAAAGACAGTTTGACCCTGAGACACCCCTTTTGATGTAGGAAGATGTAAAAGGTTACTGTCCTGGTGGGGGTTCATCCCAAAGAGAAAGCAGCTACTGTCTGCCCTCTCCTGGCCATGTTTGCTGAGGAAGAAATCTCTCTGCAGGATGCTCCTTGCTGGAGTCTGTTTAGGATCTATCTCAGATCATTTTCGCCTTCTGCCTACCAGCCTACCCCCTTCCCAATAGCATAAACTATTTTTTAAAATTCAAGCCACTTGTGTTAGGACATCAAGAGCAATACTGAGCACTGTGTGGACCTGAAAATATCACTGCCCTTGGTACTGCCAGTTTTCACTGTCATAACCCCTTAAAATCATAAGCAGTCTTCACAGACAGCTTCAAAAGCCAGAAGGCCCAGAAAGAGTGAGATAAAAACTATGAAGGTCCTTCCTGAAGCCTACTGCAAATTTACAAAAAGAATATTCCAATGAAGTCATTTTTAGAAATGATTTTTAGCAACATTAATTTTTTTTAGAATGCAGCTTTAGAGGCAGATGCCTGAATTTATTGATCAAGCTCTCTCTGATAACAGGCTAAATGGGGGGGAAAAGGAAGGAATATTCTTTCTCTGAGATAAAGAAAATATTAACAGAGAGCGAGCTCTTAACACACGAATAATGGAAGTAGTAGTCAGAGCAAACTTTGCACCATTTTAAATAATACCTAGTGATTCGGCAAATCTTTAAAAGAGAAAGGGAGTGATATGCAGTGTACATCAGCTAAACATTTGCTCAAGGTTTGTTAGAATCGTGGTTTGGCATCAAGCCGTCGGTGCTCATGACTGAAGAGAAATAATCCATATCTCCTTGCTTACAAGCTCAAAAATCAATGAGTAGAGCGCAAAGAAGATACTAATAGACAACAAGTTACTTCCTAATACAGAAAAATTCCTTAGGATGGAGCCTTGTCATGCTTATGACAGTAAGCTACAACTGCACTTCAATCTCTGTACCATAAACTTACCATTGTGCATGACCCTCAAACCCACCGTGCTGCTCTAAGTTTAAGGGACCACTTTTAAACTGAAGCAGTGTAGCAGTATCTGCATTCTCAAGGTAAGTTGCTTGGGCTAACTGGCATTGCTACTCAGCAGAGCTAATTAGCTCATTTGCACAGTTTCTGGTTTAGGAAATAGCCCATCTCAAGCAGTGTAATGTACCCGAAGACCCTGATACCAGGGAGTGTGAGTTTGCTATGTAGACACAGCCCCAGAACACTTCCCCCAGTGAATTATCCATGTGGGTGCTAGCAAGTAAGATTTTGATTGACACACTTAGTTGGACGTGTGATGTGCAGGAAATGTAACATCACTGCACTGCGAATTATCATACATATAACTCCATGTCCAAGACATTGACTTAGTTTGACTCTCCTGGTGGAACTTACTAAACTTGCAAGAAAATTAAAGGAAATGGTATTATCTTGATCACTGTAGTGATCTTGATCACTAGCATGATGTAAAAACAAGGAAAAGGAAAGAACAGAATTTGAAGACGACATCTAGTAATGTATTATGCCTCTCAGTTTTGCAAAATGGGGCACTCTGGTGAAAAGCAGTATAACTTGACTTCGAAAGGACCTACCACAGTTTGCTACCTAAGTACCTTCTTGTACAACTAAATACAGGTCTTTCTTAGCACAAGAAAGAGACTCTCTGCCCTGGACTAGCAGTTCAGAAAAGGTTAAAAAAGTAGAGTTACTTTGTATTTCCTAAAAAGCCCAAAAAATGGTTGTGTGCTCTTCACACACGTAAGCTTCATACAATACAGGATTGGAGTGTGACTCCTTTCTGCAACAGCTTCAAAGTTTGAGGCTAAGACTTCTCTTGGCTTTTGTTGACACAGACAAATTAAACATTAAAATAAAACTTATCTGGACACAAGATACTCCCATTAGTCTAATATATAAGCATTAGACTAAATCTCTCCAACCACAATTAAACACTAATTTCTCATATCATATATCGCTACTGGTGTTTAATAGGTCATTAGAGAACATTCTTCGAATTTTCATTTGTCAAATACAAAAATGCCAATACTTACTCAAAATACAGAGTGAGGTCTGTTGCCAGTATTGACTGCTTCAGAAGCTGCATAAGGTCACTATAGTCCTTGGAGGACAAGTTAGCAAAGATGTTGTGACCCTATAATGAAAGAGATAGAGAAGGTAAAGGGCTAACAATCAATATAGGTTTTTAAAAGGTTTCCTAACTGCATTTTGCTACTTTGTAACATCCGATTTTTTTTCTGGATTATGGGAAACCGTGACAAAATAAAGTTAATACTGTTGAGGTTATATTCAGACTGGAAATGTTAAACACTGTAATCAAGAATCTGGTCTGTGTTTCTCTAAACTACCAAAATTATAGCCTCTTGTGAAAAGATTTATTCTTTAGTTTGACTCTGCACTGATTCAGTTTATGGAGAAAAACTATGGATACAGCTCAATCTGTCCCTATACCAAATGTTTTTGGAACTATGTTTTGCAGCTTTTGAGCTGTGTTCTCAACAGATTTATCTGTGCTGCTGCCCACAAGCTGCTGTTACAGCAGTCAAAGGCACTAAATCAATTTTTCATTCAAAATAGTCTCTCTGCTCACCCCAACCATTATTCCACTGTCTTGCTGTATGTACAGATTTTCCTCACACAGATCAAGGTAGCAAAGCACATGGAACGTGAGCCAGCTTAACAACAGCGGTGGGTTCAGTAGAGTACTTCTGAAGGAATTTAAAGGAGTAAGACCCTGGAAAATGTTTTATAGCCATAATGAAAGGAAACAAAATATTTAAATATGGATGTTTTAAATAAAGAAGGTAGAAGGAACAATTTTACAGATCATGATCTAACGCGCACGATCAGGAGACAGCAGGGCAGGCCCTATGAGGGGAGGCTATGGGACCTGAACCTGTTCAGCCTCCAAAAGAAAAGGCTG